TACTTGAATAACTCGTATATAAGAATTAATTTGACACCAATTTATATTTCTAAAGTACTGTTTTTGACAATCATTTGTCGCTTGTAATGGTGTGTTTGCAAAATGGTTTGGATTATTCTCGTTTTGGAAGAATATCGGATATATTAGAGAACATTGACAGTAACGGAATGGTGTCCTCTTCTCCTTATCTCAATTCTTCATACGTAAGCATTGATGTGTCCAAAGAAGATATCACTCAAAACGGAAATCATTTGTCAGCAATGAATATATCAAACCGTAAAACTTTTAATCAATATAAGTAAATGTAGAGACAGTAAGATTGCCGTATTGTTTGAATAGGAGGCAGCTTTAGTTCGCGCGACTCAATCCCGTCGACCCCGTGTTCCCAACGAGAAGACGGCAAACCACAGCCCTATACCATATCTAATGATCCGTCGGGAATGAAAACACCTAAAGATATACCGAAAGAGGTATTACTGGCTCTCAACCAATTCCAACGCAAACAACAAAAGGGTTTTATCGATGTTTGGTGGCTCTACGATGACGGAGGCCTCACTCTTCTCCTACCATATCTGTTGAGCACTAGAAAGCAGTGGAAAGGATGCAAACTAAGAGTCTTTACGTTAGCCAATAAAAAGGACGAATTGGATACCGAACAGCGAAATATGGCAACACTTCTCAGCAAATTTAGAATTGATTACTCGGACGTCATTGTGATCCCGGATATCGTTAAAGCGCCTCAAGAGTCCACTAAACGACAATTCAAAGAAATGATCTCCAAATGGAGGGTCAAAGACAACGAAAGCAATAATTGCGAAACCATTGGAAACAAAAGCGATAGTGAAGTGAACGAACATTTAGTGATTACTGAGTCTGAATTGGTTGCTCTCAAAGATAAAGTAAGATATTGAATGAAATTGTGTATAAATTATTAAGCCATGTATTTATTATGGCACAGAATAACCGTCAGATGAGACTCAGGGATCTCCTCAATAGCTATTCTAAAGAATCCTCACTTATCGTGATGTGAGTACCGCTTACTCTTCAATACACGTGTGTTTACTAACTATTGACTCACTTTAGGACACTTCCGATGCCGAGGAAGGGGACGTGTTCTGCGCCACTATATATGGCATGGCTTGAGATCCTAACGCAAGATATGCCCCCATTTATGTTCATAAGAGGAGANGTTTACTAACTATTGACTCACTTTAGGACACTTCCGATGCCGAGGAAGGGGACGTGTTCTGCGCCACTATATATGGCATGGCTTGAGATCCTAACGCAAGATATGCCCCCATTTATGTTCATAAGAGGAGATCAAACAAATGTACTAACCTTTTACTCCTAAATTATTTGCCTTTTATTTAGATCTTTTAGTGAATTTTTAAACTAAATTTACTTTATATAACATTTTAGCGGTAATTATAAATGAATTAAATTATTTTTGTCAATCATTTTATAAATGAATTCATTTTGAATGATACTATTTTATCATATTTATAATTGGTATTAAATAATATGAATATTTTACTCATAA